TCCAAGAACGGGTGGGGTAGGCGGCGCGGGGCAGCTTCAAGCGGCGGCTGCAGGGTGGGGGGGTGTCCCAAAGGCTTCCAGGCCTTTGCCTGGAAGCCTTCGGGACCCCCCTACCATGCCCCCGCCGCCGCTGAGAGCCTTCTGAGCTGTCAAAGGGCTTTCTCCAATGTCGGAGGGGGGGCCCTTTGAGAGCTCGGAAGGCAAATGTTGGTGGTGGCTCCGGGGTCCTTCTGAGGCCACCGCCGACATTTTCCCCCAGCTGAGCGGTGGGGCTCCCGCTGAGCTGGGGGAAAATGCCCCTTCCGAAGGGGAATGCAGGTGGTGGCTTCGGAAGAGTCCTTCCGAGGCCACCGCTGGCATTTTCCCCCCGCTGAGCGGCAGGGCTTCAAAGCTCCCGCCGCTCAGCTGGGGGAAAATTGGGCTATGGGGAAAAATCGCAAAGCGATTTCCCCCATAGTCAACATCGTAATGCGATCGCAAAATCCGCATCGGTATGCGGATTCATCGTTAAATGGGGCTCTTGTTAAGCGAGGCACCACTGTACTTTAATATGACATTTCAGGTTAAAGACTTTACACTGAACATTGAGCATTATATTGTCTATTGTTTCAAGATAAATATGGATGAGGCACCACCGTACTTTAATATGACATTTCAGGTTAAAGACTTTACACTGAACATTAAGCATTATATTGTCTATTGTTTCAAGATAAATATGGGTGGCAAATTTTGTTTAGAACCTTGGTAGCTTCTGGCTATCTTGTCAGAATAACTTTTCTGCTTCAAGCAACACACAACTTTTTTGTCACTTCCCTGTTTCCAAGTGTGTGCTTGTTGCTGTTTCTAGCAGTCCAGGTCTAACAACTCTTCAATTTTTGTTTTGTTTTGTTGAAAAAGAAATATTTACACACAATGGTAAAGTCAAAGCCAGTACATAAGATTTGAGCAATGACAGATGGAGACGGCAAGCTTTGTCAATTATGAAATGGAGCTGCAATATATCTGCTTAGCCTATGGAAACAGGAAGAGCAGCAAAATAGGTCAGGAACAGGAAGAACAGGTTTTCGTGATGCAGGAGGGGATGAGGTGAGAGAAAATCTTTTAGGACACTTTCCACTCTGCTTCAAATAACACAAACATGTTAAGTTGTACAGCTACAAGGAACACACACACAGTTCCTCGAGTTATCAGTCATCTGAAGTACTGAGATGGGGAGAAAAAGCAGCTCATGCAGGACTGAATTCATTGCCTCTGGACAGCTATGCCTCTCTTTTATTCTGTCCCCAAGACACTGCTAAACCCAAGAAAAAACACTGTTTTAGCAATGAAATTGACTAGGCAATGGCTATTTCTACTGATTGAGATAAAAAAAGGGAGGAGAGAAGAACTCTTGAGGATATTTATACAAGTCACACAGAAGTTGCCGCTTAACCAGCTGGAATTGACTATGTTCACCAAATTAATAGGTTACTCCATTGTTCATACATAAATCTTCCAAAGATCTGAAATGATGATTTTCTACCACCTGAAGGGGGACTTCACATTTTGAGGGGCCAAGCCTTCCCACCACCAGTTAATGCTACACAATTTAGCTTCAACTTGCTTTTTAAAAAATTAATGCACTGCTTAAGTTTCAGTTCAGCTGAAAAAGCTTGT